TCTTTACCAACCAGATCAATATGATCAACTCTGGCATGGGCTGTTCCTCACATTTCCATTAACTATCTACCATACTGACCTTTTTTCTTCATATTTGGAGTTAGTTTTCATATTTATAGAATCAAAGAGTTGGAAGGAAACTTAAATTTTGCAGGGACCAGACATAGATTAAACTCTGTTCAAAAAGCCAAAGATTTTTATATGTCGGTCCTGAAAGCTGATATGTCATCATCATCGACATCTAAAGCACAGGAAGATCCGATGGAGCAACTTGTTGTGGAATTGCCTGGGGCCATGTCATTATCAGTAGAAGATCCTCAGAAGGAGCAAAGGATGACCTGTGCTGCTTATAGGCGTAAAGAGAGACAGCAACAAAAAGAAACAGTTTCTATAACATATCCACAGCCTTCTGAGCCAGTGGGAGGGGCGAGGCCAAAGAGAGCTGCTGCCACAGATATGCAAGGAATGCTTAGCAAGCTTTGTAAGCCAAAAGATGGATAAATGCTGGAAATGAGACTTTATTATGGAAATGGAACAAATTAGTTCATTATATGTTTGTAAAGAGCTTTTTGTTCTTTTTTTTTTTTCTGAAAGAGGTAAAAAATTAAGACTGGGATTTTATTTTTTTTTCCAGCTGTAAAGCAGGAGGTATTGACTTAAGATTTTATTGAAAGTATAGATTGGAGAGGGAAGAAAGTGAAGGGAAAATTTAAGTGTAAAATGCAAGGAAAAAATATGTAAAGTTTAAATGTTGAAGGTGGATAGATTATATTAGATGTATGGAGTGATTAAATGTTATATAGTTTTTGAGTAGATATATTGGTTTTTAATTAATTCTAATTAATTTAATTGCCTTATTAGAGTTAAAGTAGGTATATACTGATAGTATTATATTTGTTTAGTTAAATTGTAATTTAGATTTGGAATGATTTGTTTTAGTCCTGTATTTGGTTCCGGGAAGCTCAGGGGGGGGGGGGAAGGGGTTTAGGGGTATTAAAATAAAATTGATGTATTCATATGTTATAATTGTATTGACAAGAGGAAATGCTCGGTTGGTACCCCGACTTGCACTCGAGGAGGTGGCCAGGAAGAGGGGGGATGTAGAAATGGGAAGGAGGAAGGAGGAGAGGTTGTGGGTTAGAGGTAGGAAGGAAAGGCAAGTGGATGAGGGCGGAGGCAGGTCGGGGACTGCCGAGCGTTTCCGATAATGTATTGAGTTGGATTGTTTTTTTTGTGTGTGTGCTTGTGTTATAAATGCATCATATTACTTATTGTTTAATTATAAAAATTAATAAAATTTTATTTAAAAAAAAAAGAGTTGGAAGGAAACTAAGAGGTCATGAAGTTCAACTCCCTACACATTACACTGTGCCTGTCAGATGATTATTCAGCCTGTGGTTGAAAACCTCTAGTGAAGATGAAGGAACAACTCTGTATGGTGACCTGTTCCATGAGTGACAGTTTTTACTATGAAGGTTTTCCAAATGTCTTATCTGTTTCTACATCCTTAAAGGTTTTTTCTTCTCCTCCCACTGATTCGAGCCTCAGCTTCTGGAACAAATGAGAATAAATCTGGACCCTCTACCATGTGATAGCTTTGACATACCTGAAGAAGTTATTATGTCCCCTCTCAACCTTCTCCAAGCTAAATGTATCTAGGTCTTTCAACCATTCCTGTAGAACAGGGATGTCAAACTCAATTTCATTGAGGGCCGCATCAGCATTGCGGTTGCCCTCAGGGGGCCAGGTGGGTGTGTCCAGGGTAGGTGCAGCCTATTGGGTGGGCGTGGATGGAGTGGGTGTGGCCTACTGGGTGGGTGTGGCCAGCTCTACATCGTTCGCGTCAAGGGTGCCTGTGGGGGCCTGGGCAGGAGTGGGATAGATCTGAGGGTCTCTGGCAGAAGGGGGTGGGACCAGGGCAAGTGCCAAGGCAGGGTCCACTGGAGGAGCCTCACTGTTCCTCTCAGGCCATGCCGGGGGGGGGGGCTTATGGAACTAAGACTGAATGCATTTCAGCATAGATGGCCACCGCAAAATTGTACATTGGCTCCTGGCTGGCTTGGGCCAGGGCCAAGGCAGAGGGGGCCGTTCCCTCACTGTTTCCAGGATGGCTTTGCGGGCCACATGAAACCAGTTCGCGGGCCGCATGCGGCCCGCGGGCCTTGTGTTTGACATATCTGCTGTAGAACTTAGTTGTAGAACTTAGTTTGCAGTCTTTTCATGATTTTGGCAGTCTTTCTCTGGACCAAGATGGAACTATTGAATCATTGTATGGAGGAGATCAGACATAATTATTAACTATATTTGATTATTAGTTGCCTTGTAGGTAAAATGATGAGATATAAAGTGAAATTTTATTTCATTGTACATATTTTCATCTGAACAGTTTCAAGACAAGATATATTTGCCCAATTTTCTTAGAGATTTTTTTAAAAAATAAGAACCATGAAATATTTTAGGGAGGTTTTACTTGTACTTGGGATACTGGCTGGGGGAATCCTGGGAGTTGAAATATATAAATCATGGGGTTGCCAAGGTTGAGAAACACTGATATACAGTAGATAAACAGTAGCTTACAATATGGCATTATCAAAAGCACATTGTGCTAGTAAGGCAAATAAGTGAGGAAATGGCCTAAGTAAACCATATTATGGAGATGGACCAATAATAAAAAGGCATGGGTACTCCAAATAATATGATGTGGATTAATTATGGGCCAAATGGAATATTGAATATGAAGCAGTCTGAAAGAAGCAATTGATTTGCAAAGAAAGAATGAAGAACAAGCATAAAATGTCTGTGCTGTACAGAGATACATTTTCAAGCCAAAAAGCAATATGCAGGCTTCTTCATGCAACATTTCTTTTCTACCTGTAGTAGAGTTTCTTAATAGTTACCTGGGAAGTTGAGAATCAGGGACATTGTTGGTACTTGCTTTTGATTCACTTTTCTCCCCTGCCAAATAAATTTGCATTGATTTACGAACATGGTAATCTTTATTATCTAAAAAGCTTTTGCTTGTAATAGTTAATATTTATATTAGAGGTCTACTGTGGTTCCAGTCAAAACAAAAGCCTTTCTGCTTTAGCTTTCCCTAACCTCCGTAACCATAGATGGCAGGAGAAGTCTACAAATATATGGCAGTATCACTTGTTTATGATGTCCAAGAGCAGTATTGATATGATCATAGTCCGCATGATAATTGATAGCTGCATATTCGCCATAAGTTAATCTAGTCCTCCTTTAAAGCTCGTAGCTAGGTAGCTATATTAGTATCTCTATCCTGAACTTTCTTTCATTCAGATTTACTGGATATTCCTGTATTCTAGTATTAAGAGAAAGTGTGTATCTACGCACATTTTCTATGCGTTAGGATGAAGACAACCGTAAGAGTATAAGAATATGATTGAGCTTAGTGAGATACAGAGATCAAAAACCAAAATAAAAGATCAATACACTGGAGGGCACATGAGAAGAAGACAGTATGAAAAAATATAAAAGAAGGAAAGAAAAAGGGCAGAGACTAATTTTAACCTTTGCATAACTATTGCTCAAGAGATAACTGAGATATTTTCTTTAAGTTGTTGAAGGCAGTTATTACTTCATAAGATGGACTACTTATTAGTATACTTAGATACAATAAATTACCCCAATCTGATTAAATTGTTATATGACACCTGTAGTAACATACCCATTGATTCTATTCCTTGTCTTTTAGGAGATTCTTGACGTTTGGAGACAATCCTCCCTGAAACCTGGAGATGAAGAAAGAAGTACTACTAAACTGCTTCTTCAAAGTTCTCTGTTGCATAGCAGAACCAGTGATTTAGTAGCACATGGCTGGGCAAGCAATCCAAGAGAGATTTATATAACCATAGTTGACAGCAAGAACTAATAATAATAATAGTAAAGTTGGAAGGGACCTTGAAGGTCATCTAGTCCAACCCCCTGCTCATGCAGGAAACCCTACACCATTTCGGACAAATGGCTGTCCAGTCTCTTCTTAAAAACTTCCAGTGTTGGAGCATTCACCGCTTCTGGAAGCAGATTGTTCCACTGGTTAATTGTTCTCACTGTCAGGAAGTTTCTCCTTAGTTCTAGATTGCTTCTCTCCTTGATTAGTTTCCACCCGTTGCTTCTTGTCCTGCCTCTAGGCGCTTTGGAAAATAGCTTGACTCCCTCTTCTTTATGGCAGCCCCTTTAGCAATTCATCACCAGGGAAAGAAGAAAATGAAGCCCAAAAAATCAAAAATAAATTATAGGTTTTAAGTTTAGTTGCAGAAAGTAAAAAGAAGATGTAAAGAGTCTAAAATGCATCCCCATTCAAAACACTACAATTTGAGGTCTAAAGTTTGCAAATGGTCGAAGAAAATCTTATTTGCAACTCCCAATCCCCCCTCCCCCATTTTTTCTTATGAATACCTGCTTCAGCTCTTATTTTGGAGCCAATATTAAAACTAATTTGATAGATTGGTAATTAGAGATTGCAGTGATGTACTTTGATGCAGAGTTCCTTTTGCATCTATTACTAGAAAATTATAAAAAAAGTTTTTTTGTATATGTTTACGTAAACTTGATTTTATATATTCTATTTATTTTTACCTCCATACTGCCAAATCCACAGAGTCATAACAGTATTCAAAGAAATATTATAAATTATTGAAATGACATAGTAAAAGCTTTATAGCTTATTAGAAATACATAAATTACCCTGGATTTGTGTCAGTACTCTGCATGGATGTTCAATTATCTAGTGGATATACTGAGATACCTGGACAGTGTTATGGTGGCTTGTGAGCTAGTTTCTCTATTGTAAAGGTCCTCATTTGCATTGAATAGAGGGCTATGCTTGTATCAGAATTGCCTTTTGATTGTGCAGGAAGTTCTATATGAAAAAATAGAAGTAATTAATCTCTCAACTGAATGGAAAATGGATATAAGAAAACAGAATGGGGAAGCTGCATGGAAGATTGAGAAGAATTGTGTTATACTGCACTAACATTAGTATAGCTAAGGATGGCATAAGCCTGTCTAACTCGGATGGATATGAAATCATGGAGACTACAACAGCAAAGTGTTACTAGGACATGTTGGTGTTGAAATTAAGCACAAACAGGAAAAGACTATCAGAGCAACTTTAGAGTCCACAATTAAATTGCTGTGTTGAAAATGACATACAGTAATTTTTGTTTTTTGGATTAGTAGTAGAACCTATGGATTTTAAATATCCTGGGGCAGAACTCAAGTGGTTGGCTTCTAAGCACATACAACAGAGAATTCCAGCTTTTATGCTACATGAAAATGATGATGCTGATTTGAAATATGCAATGCTGGAATCAGGTCTTGCCCTGAGCCATAATTTACTGAGTACGTTGACCAATGAACTGGGCTTAATATATCACACTTAGCATAAATGGCCAGTGTGAGAAGTTTTATATCCAAATATTAACAGAATCTACAATGGTCTGAGAATCAGTATCTCCACTAGATAATTGATGGTCAAGCTGAAATTAAGTTAATCAACTAAAACTAGCAAACCCCCAAATAGGTTACTCAGACCTAATTCACATATCAAAGGATAAGGTCTGTAAACACAGAATTAATTAAATTAGCTCTCCCAGAGTAACTGTATGTTCACAAACATAAACATACCTACCTACAAACACACACACATCCCTCAAGTGTCACCCTAGAACAGGGGTAGGCAACCTCTGCTCTTTTATGACTCATGGATTTCAACTCCCAGTATTCCTGAGCCAGCATAACTATGCTGGCTCAGGAATTCTGGGAGTTGAAGTCCATGAGTCATAAAAAGCCGAGGTTGCCTACCCCTGCCCTAGAATTAGCACGTAGACACCACACTCCGGACAAAATTCCCCCCATAAAAATCTGCTGCTGTGCCCCATTTCTCTGCAGCCTGCTCCTACATGCAAACTGTTTTGCTTTTAGGAATAAATATTTCTTCTTTCTTCACAGCTGTCTGGATCTCATTTTTATTTATTCTTGTGCAATCCTGGCTCCAGTTGGAATCCCAAATTATTATTCTGATACTAGGTTTGCCCATTATGCTAAATCACACCAAACAAATCAACTTATCACTTAGCACATGTGACTCCAGCTGTCAGGTACAAACACATTCATTATTCTGCTACTCTGAACACATGGGGTGACAATTCACAAAATAACCCTGGCTTGTGACCTACTATAAAAAGATACAATCCATTTGAATTATTCAAACAACAACAAGAACAAAGCAAACACTATCCAATATATTAATGTTAAGTGTCATGAGATAGCATATCTTGAGAGCCAGTTTGGTCTAGTGGTTAAGGCACCAGGCTTAGAAAGCAGAAGACTGTGAGTTCAAGTCCCACCTTAGCTATGAAAGCCAGCTGAGTGACTTTGGGCCAGTCGCTCTCTCTCTCAGCCCAATTCACCTCACTGGGTTGTTGTGGGGAAAATAGGAGAGGGAATATGTGTTGGCTACGTTTGCTGCCTTGGGTTATTTGTAAAAATAATAAAGGTGGGATATAAATAAATACATACTGGTACATACATAAATTTGAATAAAATATTAACACTATAGATCTGAATAGTATTCCTCTTGCTTAAGAATTCTTGTGCATTACTTTTAATCCTATTACCTTTAAAAAAGCCTAATTTACACACTACACTGAGCCATAATAGTTAACCATAATTTATGTGGTTGGTAGATTCACACAGTACACTATATCATATCCCAGTGGCTGAGTTCACACAATACTAATCCAAAATTAAACAACCCATATTATGGCTTAATTACAATGCACTTAGCATGTACGTATCTTGTCACAACATATTACTTAACAGAATAACTCAGCTTGCAAAACTCCTTGAAACTCCAAGACACCAAGAGATGACTGAGGAATCTTACCACAACTGTATCTTTCCTACTACGGCTGGAAAAAGAATTATCTGGAAGCCTTATTCTCTCAAATCAAGAACAATATGCAAAGACAACTTTTGATTGGCCAGGGTAACTGTCTGTTCTATATTAGATACCTGCCCATGTTTCTCTTCTTAAAGATAGATGGATTTGGTCCTCCTTTGCATTACATCATCTTTGCTGGCCTCACTGAGTATTAGCCACTGGAGGGCAGAGCAGCACTGTCTATTCCACATAAGCAACTTCCTCT